AAAAATTAGTGTAGATTATCTGATACCAAATACAACTAACATGGAAAATAGGCTGAAAGATAATTTAAGAATCATTGGTTTCCCTGAAAACCATAATTTTTAAAAAAGCTTAAACATATTTCAATAAATCATAAATGAAATCTGCACAGATTAGAATCAGAGAACAAAGTAAAGATAGGAAGAAAACACCAATCACTTCCTAAAAGAACCCCAAAAGGAAATGTCCCAGGAATTTTGTAGACAAAATCCAATGCCTCCTCATTCAAGAATACTCAAAGCATCCAAAAAGAGGCACTTTAAGCAGGAAGGAACCACAGTCAGGATCATGCAAGACTTTGCAAATTCTATTATTCATGAGAGAAGATTATGGAATACAATATTCCAAAATGCAAAAGTAAGAGACTTACAATCAAGAATATCTTACCCTGCAAAGCTAAGGCTAACCCTGCAGGGAACAAAATCGCTGTTTAATGGAATATCAAACTTTCATGCATTTCTGATGAAAAGACCACAGCTAAGCAGGAACTTTGAAATGCAAACACAAGAAACCAAAGAAACCTATGAAGGCAAAATTATTTCAGCAATTGGAAGGAGCTATATAATGATGTAATGTTAATATTCTAATATGAGGAAAAGGAACAATTGTAATCAAAATCATAACATCTTCAAAAGTTATTGAGAGAATTAAAAAAAAAAAGAAAAACAGAGAATTTGGGAGTAGATTGGTTTTGTACTGAGAACTTAAAGACAGGAAAGTTAATGAGGGTTTACCCAAAAAAATAAGCTAGTGTAGAAAAGAAGAAAAAGGGAGTGGAACTTGCCATTTTTTTAGCATTGAAGTGCATGAAAAATATATAAAGGAAGAGGTGGGGAGAGATAAGAGCTTCACTCTTATCTTAAATGGAGAAAGGAGGATTGAACACATACAAATAGTTGCATGTTGTAACATTAAATCAACACAGAAGTAAGCAAGGATGAGGGAGGATGTTAAAAGTGAGGGTAATACAGGTAAGGGGAGAATAAGCCCAAGTAAAACAAATAGACTGATGCTGAAGGAGTAATTAAAATGGGGGGGGGAGGAAAGTGAAAAGCTAGGATGTAGAGGAATACTCCTTAACTAGGAAATAGCAAATAAATTGTGGTAATTGTGGTCTGTAAATGTAGCGCAATATTATTATGCTAGAAAATATGATGGAAAAGACAATTTCAGAAAATCTTGAGTAATTTGAACTGATGCAGAGTGAAATAAGTAGAACCATGAGAACAATACATACAAGGACAATAAAATTATAAAGAAAAACAACTTTGAAAGATTTAACAACTCAATTCAGTAAGTGACTATGTCTCTAGAGGACCAATGATAAAGCATGTTACTTACCTCCTGAAAGGGAGGTGATGCATGCAAGGTACAGAAAGAGACATATATTTTGGGTCAAAATCAATGTAGGGATTTGTTTTGCATGACTGCGCTGATTTGTTACAAGGGTATGGTTTTGCCCTTTCATTCAGGTAATTGCAGGGAGAAAGACATTTGCAATAATGATGTCAAAAGAAGAGATGTCCATTAAAATATTTTTTAATTCACAGGAGAGAACAGAAGGAAGTTCAGAAGGAAGCACAGACAAGTTAGACAGTTTTGAAAGTGATGTGCACAATTTTTAATATACTTTTAAAAAATTAAATGATATGCAGTACAGATTAGTGGTTTTACAAGGAATCTTCTTTTATGTTCTGTGGTGCATATAGAAGTGTTCTTTTTGGTTGGATTTAAGCTCAGAATAAAATAATGAAAATTTAAAAAATCTATGATACTTGGCCTTAAAACAAAGCCAGAGAGCAGTTAGACATTACACATGCAGCCAAATCATTTTGTGTGCTTAATTTCACCATGATGACAATGGTTACAGAGGCAGAATCAGGCTGGAAGAGTGAGGGGTGGGGAGTGTGGTCTGAACTTCGAAATTCTCCTGCTGAAGATGAATCAACAGGCCTCTTATAGACAGGAGTGTCTGGGGCAGAACTCTGTCCTTCACGCCTAAAGATTCCTGGCCCCCTATTAAACTATCAAATTTTCAGCACCACCGTTTGAAAGTTTGGTTATGACCTGGTTATTCTGAGCCTGTTTCAAAGATTATGAGACGATGGGGAAGATGTCATCGGGGACTAATCCCTGAAAGAGGTACTGGCTGTTGCAGTCTCACTGGTTGGCTTGCAGTCCTGGGGGCATCTAATCGCAAACTCTTTAGCATTTTCCAAAAGAAGTTTGCGCCGTGTGACTCCCTGACTAGGCCTGACTCTAACTGGCTCAGACTGGGCCATATTTAGTGCTGCTCATTCAGCTCATTGATATTCATTTTCCCTTAAGCCCCAAGTAAGACTTGATTGTTCACCAATCAACTGACCAAACTGTGAGGACTGCACAGATAGAGCGGCACATGCCATTGGGGGCATTTTCTGGTCTGCCCTGACATCACAGACAATCAGGACTACCCAGACGTTACCACCCAAACGCAGGTGATTTTTGTGCTGTTTTCATAGTCTCTGCCCAGGAGCGTTGCTTTCAGAAGGAGTGGGAACTGGAAGCCAATTCTCCAGTGGCTGGCTTCCAGAGGAGGAGGAGGCAGAGAATATTCTTTAAACAGGAAAGCGGCATGGCATAGTCAAGAGAGCCCCAAATTCTGTTCTAATTCTGCCTCCATATGTGATTTGAAGTCAAAGTTGCTGGATTCAAATCCTGCCCCTATCATTTATTAGCTGTGTGACCTCTGAAAAGTCAATTAACCTCTGTGGTCTCCATCTCTGAAATAAAGTAAAATGATCTTTACTATTCAGTCAATGGTCCTCGTTTTCTCTTGTGTTCTTTGGATCAGCTAAATGTCACCTGAAAGAATTCTTCATCTCATTCCATGAAGGAGTCTTGTCTGTGTCTTCCATAAAGTCAATCCTTTATAGAGGATGACTCCAGTGTGCTGGAGGCCCTCCTCTGTTTGTCTTGGTAATAACAACAACAACAAAAAACTGACATTTCTGCGATGCTTTAAGGTTTACAAAGCTCTTGACAGACACATTCTATGTCCTCACAACAACCCTCTGAAGTGGATGCTATTATTATCCTGATTTTTCAGTTGAGAAAGCTGAGGCTCAGCTAAGTTCAGTGACTTACCCAGGGTCACATAGATCCTAAGTGGTTCCAGTGGTAGGTCTTGAACCCAGTTCTTCTTAGCTCCAACCTCAGTCCTCCATTGACTACACCACACCCCATATTTGAATAGGTACCATGCAAATTCTCATCTGCCCAGCTGCTCTTCTTCAGTCTTTGGAGTGACCAGCTCATTTCCTTTTCCAATTCGCTGGGTCCTTACAATTGTCTTCCATGTTACTTCTTGCCCCCCTTTTCTCTCCATGGCCTTTTGGGTCATTTTTGCTCCTATGATTCCTAGGAAATCATTGTGTTCCCTGGTTCACAGCTCTTCTCCCTCCCCAAAGAAAGAAGGGGCTAAAAAGATGAGTTCTGGTGGCATTGAACATCTTGGGATCATTGAAGGGGCCATGACCCATGAAAAAGACATGAACATGCAGCATGTCTCAGTCTCAGGACATCCAAGAAGGGTGATTAAAGATGAGGATTTGGGGGGGGTTTTAAGTCCCACTTTCCCACATCGGCATGTCCTATTTTGGGGTTTATTTTTGCTGAAGTCTCTGGACTGAAAAATTCTATTAACTTAATAGCATTATTTGAGTAAATACATGACAATTTGGCCTCCATACAACCATTGATCTCATTAAGGAAATAAAACTCAATTTGCAAACAATTTATGCAAACATATTTAATATAAATCATGGACTTAAAGAGTCTCACCTCCTGTTGCTAGAGCCTCATCACTCTGAATTGCAGTTGCCTAAAAGAGGAGATTTATGTACACAGAGACGGGATGTCTATTTAAATTGCATCTATTGGAAACTGACAAGCCTCTGTCCCATTCCTCATCTGAGTTGAACCCCACTCTATGGTGAGAGAAACTATGGAACTGGAGATTCTCAGAGCTGGCACTAGATCTGGAGAGCTCCAATTCTTCAGAAGGTTTTCATGACCTCAAGCTTAAATTAACCCCTTTGCAAATTCCACTCTTCCCGCTGATTGTTGTGCTCTGAGGCCACATAGACCCAGTATAAGCTCTCTTCTGTCTTTCCACTGGAACATCAGCACAAACCAGTCTTCCCACAACCCCAGCAGCTGAACCTTCTCTTTTTGCCTTCTCCCCTGAGAAAAATGTAAGATTCTTGGAAGCAAGGACTCTTCTGCCTGTATCCCCAGTGCTGAGCACAGTTCTTTGTATACAGCAAGCACTTAGTAACTGATCATTCATTCATTCATTGTACACAACAGCCTTTCAAACAGAATCACAGGATAATAGACTTCAATTGGTAAGGCACCCCAGAAGCTGCAAAGTCCAAACACTGCCTGAACAAGAATTTTGGCTACAATCTCCCTTCCCTAGTGAGTGGTCATTCAGTGTCCATTTGAAGATCCCGGTGAAAGAGAACACACTGCTTCCTTAGATAGCCCCCTAGATAGACAAAATCAATTTGGGATTAGGGAAATTTTTCCTTACATTAAATCTAATTCTGCCTTACCTATTCCATTGCTCCTGGTTTTACTCTCTGATGTCATGCAGAACAAGGCTCAATAATCTTCCACAAGGCAATCTTTCAAATAACTACCCATCTTCCCCCCCTCCCTGCATCCCCACCCTCCAAAAAATCATTCTCTTCTCCAGGCTTATCATCTTCAGCTCCTTCAACTCATCTGCACATACCACCCATCTCTGGTCCTCTCCTCATCCTGGTGGTCTTGCTCTAGGTGTTCTCCAGTCAATCGGCAGCATTCCTCAACTGGGACACCCAGACCCAAACACATTACTTGTCAAGGATTCATTGAGAACATAGGGAATCAATGCCAGTAAAAACAAATTTCTTGCAGCTAAACTCATTATCTTTACCTGTGTATGTGAGTCGTGCATTTTTTTCCCATGCTGAGTGCTCTTTGGGAGATAAGAACAGCCGGCTGTGGATCTGTAAAAAAAAAACCAACCAACAACATGATGTTTGTTTACTAGATGTACAGTCTTCGGTCATGCATGCTAGACACTTTGGGAGAAGACTGTGTTCTTTCAAGGAGGTGCTAGAGAGGGAACTTCATGGACTTCCATTTTTGCCTCTTATTACAACCCATAAATTAGAATAGGATGTCATGGAATACTGGAAGCAAAAACTAGATCAACTTCCTTAATCCCTCAACACTGGAAAGCTTCTATCAGGCACATTTTATAAGGAGAAAAAAAATAACATTTTGTCATTTTCTATTTCCTATGCCTGCCCACAGTATTTTGCCCTCAAAGAAGCACATACTAGGGTTTTTAAAGATCCGTTGATTAATGAACTGAAAACAGCCTGACTGTTCAGGACTGATTTTTCTACAAGGCACCACAAAATTTAGGGGTGGTGGACAACTCTGTGACTTTCTCCTGCACTTTGGTTTTTCCCTTGGTTTTTCTTCTTGGAAAAAGTGATTCAGCAAAAGAACAATTCTACATGATGCTTGGAAATCAGCCAAGCATTTATTAAGTGCCTGCTTTGTGCCACGCACTGTACTAAGCTCTGGAGATACAAAGAAAGGCAAACACACAGTCCCTGTGCTCAGTAAGTTCATATTCTAATGGGAGGGGCAATATGTAAATAACCAGGTACATACACGATACATATACTCAGTTGAAGGAAATTCATCTGAGAAGAGACACTAGCCAAGTACCAGGAAGGCATGGAGAAAATCAAACTCTGCCCTAGCCTTTGCCAAGGGTCTAACACTCTAACCAAGGGAGGGAGAGGGGGACATGCCCATTTGTTGGCACATGCAAAATAGATCCTGGGTACCTAATGAATGGTTATTGAAGTGAACTGAAAAGGATTCCATTTGAACACAAGTCACTATGTACAGTGGCTTCCCCACTTAATTTGCATTTTAAATGATGCTGTACAGCATCTGTGATGTCACTGCTTTCTTCTGAAGCCACCCCAAGAGCAATCGATTCAACCCCCTCATTTTACAGATGAAGTAGCAGGTCTAGAGAGGAGAAGTCCCCTGCCTAAGGTCTCACAGGTAGTAAGTTGCAGTACCATATTCAAGCCCAGGTCCTTGGATTCAGAATCTAGAGCTCTTTCCCCCATAGCACCATACCTTAATAAATGTCAGCTAACATTGACGCTATATCTTTGGCAAGATATACACTTAAACGGTATTTAAACAACTTTAGCAGAGCTTCTTCAAAGGAAATTGCAAGAATGAGTGTGCTTTTTTCAGCAGAGAAATAAAATTAAAATGTAGCACATTGAACCTGAGGTTGGAATTAGCATCTCATTTTTAAATGGAGTTTGGCAGAAGACAGAGTGTTACCATCATATAAATAAGAAACCAAAATATGCCTTAAATGTGTTCCAGCCAAGGAATTTTTTTTGCATAAGAGATTCTAAGTTTCATATTTTGTGGACTGCTGTTTTAGATAGTGGCTATTTCTTTTAAATTTATTCTGTATCTATCTGTATGCACACACTTATGTGTGTGTGTGTGTGTGTGTGTGTGTGTGTGTGCGCGCGTGCACACATGCTAATGTATATCTGTAACAAGTCTTGTGAGCTAATTCAGGGACATCTACAACACAGAACTCATTTCTATTTGTTAGGTTTTGGTATGTACCCTAGACTCCTCCCTCTGGAGCCCCTTCCCAAGAGTAAACAATGTAGAGAAGGCAACGAGTTCAGATCCTTGTCTGTCTCTTCTTGGGAGGGCACACATGAATGCCAGTGTATGACCCCTAAATAAGGATCATACTCTTGGCCTTTTGTAAGCATTATTGCTCAGCCTTGGTACCATCTTCCTAAAGCTTAATGGCTGGTGGTGAGGCCCTCTGGTGCCACCAAAGGCCATTTACTTGTCAAGGCTGTAGTCCAGAGAATCCTTCAAATCTGGATCATTCAGGAGCCCTCGGGGGGGGGGGGTTCAAGTAGTTCTGTGTTGGGCCCTGCAGTTATTCAATTACTACTGTTTGCCACAGGCTTCCAGGACAGAATCTGTGGAAGAAGGCTAGCCAATCAAGTGGCCTGAATTTAGAGTTATTAATTCATAGGGAGTTTGGGGGAGGGAGGGGAAGGGAAGGGAGAAAAGTCATAGGATTGTAGGTTGTCTCTAGAAGAGACCTCAAAGGTCATCTGGTCCAGCCTCCTTATTTTCAAGAAGGGGAAACTAAGGTCCAAAGAGAGGCATGTCCAAGGTCACAACAAGCTAATGGCAGGCAGGGGCCTCAGATCCAGGTCTCCTGGTCCTTAATCCAGGGCTCTCTGTACTGGATCACTTCTTCTGGACTGTGGGTTGAGGTCCCAGCTCAGACACCTAATGAATGACCATAGGTCAGTCCACACATGAACCTGATCTCTCATGAGGTCAGATACCATGTCATATTTGGAATCTCCACCAGAACCTAGCACAGTGCTTTGTACACAGTAGGTTCTTAATAAATGTTTGCTGAATTAAAAACAAGCTGCTTTTAAGACTTTAATGGGTCTTAAAGCAACTTGGGTTGGGGGAAATAGTGCTGGAATTGGAATGAGTACCTGAGCTCAGATCCTGACTCTGCTAGCATAACCTTGGGCAAATTGCTTCATGTCCCTGAGCCACCATGTTGTCATCTGTGCAATGATGTGGGTGGAAGAGATGACTTTGGAAGCACCTTCTAGTTCTAGACCTGTGATATAAGATCTTCTGGTTCTCTGTTCCTTAGGAACAGGCTGTCAGACTTCAAGTCTTTCTAGAGTTTTCAATAAAAGAGGAAATGGTCAGACATGCACCCAAGTCTTGGGGAAAGCAGATCACAAAGAGTTCAGGGAAGCCATAGAATCCCATGTATTTGTCAGTTCAGAATTTCAGTCTCGAGATCTCCCATCTGTCTCAGGCTGATTTCCCTGGTAGCATTTAAGCCCATACAATGCTACCTATTAATCCAAGAAAGATGGGAGATGCCCAAGAATGAAATTCAAAAAATACAAAGGGAAATAATTCCAAAGAGGAAAAAATGGAGATGAATGTGGATGCACAGGGACCTCACCAAAGAAGTTAGACCTCTAAAATAAATGTACAGAAGATACAATCAAGACCTAGTAGCAGACGATGGATACAGGAGTTTGAAATGGTCCTTTAAAAATGGGGGCATCAAGATGAAAGCTTGGAATGAGTTGAGGCTGATAAGGCGAGGAAGGATGACAGAAAGGACTTCTTTTGTCTGTATGAGGGGAAAAGGGAGGCTCAAATAAAGGCCGGGAACTTTTTTTCGGCCATAAGGAAGCATGATGACTGATAACAAAGATTAGAAGTGCTCACCTTGTCTTTCGCTTCTATTTCCTCTACCAAGGAGAATGGTACTTTGCTCTGGAAATGACAGAAGAAATTGATGGCAAAGAGAGAAGTAAGAATCAATTAATCAACGAACGTTTATTAAGTACCTATTGCCTGGCACTGGGTCCCGTGCTGAGGATACTTGTTTTTTTGGCTTAGTAGTTTTTCAGTCGTGTCCAACTCTCCATGTCCCCATTTGGGGTCTTCATGGCACAGATACTGGAGTGGTTTGCCATTTCCTTCTTCAGCTTGTTTTACAGCTGAGGAAGCTGAGGCAAATAGGGTGAAGTGATTTGCCCTGGGTCACAAAGCTAGCAAGTATCTGCTGATGGATTTGAACTCAGGAGACCCAGCACTCTATCCACTGTGCCATTTAGCTGCCCACAAAGATTTTGTTGTTATTTAGTCATTTTCATTTGTGTCCAACTCTTCATGACCCCTTTTGGGGTTTTCTTGGCAAAAATAATGATGTGGCTTACCATTTCTTCCATAGCTTGTTCTATGGATGAGGAAACTGAGGCAAATAGGATTGAGTGACTTTCCCAGGGCCTAACTCCTGGCTATCCACTGTGCCATCTAGCTGCCCCACTGAGGATAGGAAAAAAGGAAAGGACAATACCTGTCCTCAGGGAGATCATACTCTAATGAGGGAGACAACATGCAAACAAACATACACAAACAAGATATGTACAGGACAAATGGGACACAATTAAAGGCACCAAAATGAGTAAGAGGGCCCTTAGCTGCCCTTGAGAGATCCAGTGTATATTCAATGAATGCTTGGGGCCTGAAAGAGCTGGCTGATGGAACTGGAGCCATTGCCAGTGATGTCTGAAAGATCACGGAAAACATAGATTAGAGAAGGCCAAATGTCTAGATCTTCACAAATTGGAAGACAGCAGAGTTTTGAAACATTAAGACAGCGAACTTGACTTCTGTCACTGGGGAAAATTCTAGTATAGATCATTAAAAAGAATGTTTGGTGAATATTCAATTCAACTCAATAAATATTAAGCACCTACTATGTGCCCGGCACTGTGCTAAGCACTAGAAAGGGCTTAGAAAGGGAATTTAGAATTTAATTTAGAAAGAGAAATAACAATTACAAAGAACCATCCTGGCTTCATCAAAAATAGTTCGTGGCAAACTAGCCTCATTTCCTTTTTTGACAGGATTCTAAACTAGGTGATGAGGGGAATGCGGTGAATATAGGTTACCTTAATTTTATCAAAACATTTGATAGAGTATCTCCTACCATTGTTATGGAAGAAATGAGAGGTATTCTGAGAAGATGATCTAGTTAGCTAGATTTTGAATTTGTTGTCTGGCTGGCCTACAAAAAAAAAGTCTTTCATAGTCTAATGTCAATGTGGCAGGAAGTTTCCTATAGAGTACTCCCATGGATTTATACTTGGCTGTTTGCTCCTTACCATTTTTACTGGTGACTTGGATAAAGGCAGAAATCAAATTTTCAGATGACCCTGGGAGGAACAGCTAATGCTCTAGATTATAATAAGGAGACAAAAGCACCTTGATAGGCTAAAACAGGAGTGTCAAACCTGAGAAAGAGACGTGATCACTAGATTGAAATGTAATAGGGAAATGTTTCATAAAATAAATAAGAAATATA